GAGGTTTTTATTTAATAGAATATTTGGACAAAAAAATCACAATATATCACAATATATTGCCTTGCTTACAGTATCGCAATATATCAGGATATATCGTATCGTGACCCCTCTGTCATGATATGTATCGTATCGCCAAATTACTGCCAATACACAGCCCTAGTTACATCCTGATGTTTGAAGGGTGTGTTTGGAAACAGAAGCACCGCCTCACCTGGTAGGTTCAATTTTATTAGTTTGAATTAAAAACAAATACTAATTAAAGCGATCTAAGACTAAATGTCTGCTCTGAACGGTGCAGGAAACCCACAGTACGCAAAAACAGCTCGTTCTGGGTGTGTGTTGTTCGCCTGCTTCGTTTTGTCTGGTTTAAACGCACGCACAACTTCGAAACGAGTGTGGTGTGATCAACGTGAGTGTTGCTGTCATTCAGCTCCCTGCAGACACATGATATGAGCCAGCAGCCTTAAGGCCAGCGTCTTCGCCTATTTGGAGTCAATGACAGGCCAGCGTGAAATCACCTGCAATTATACCATAAAAATAAAGATTTATGTGACAATCTGGGTGGTGAGGAGAACTACGTTTCACTTTAAAGCTCGTTATAACAACTTAATCTACTAATCTAAGTGTTATTTTATTTGGCACTGTAACTAAGAGCCCAAAAAAACATTTTATTTTTGCAAAATGTTATTTTCTACCACCAAAATTTAGTAATTCTAAACACACTGATAAGTTAAAAACCAGCTATTTTAAAAATAAAATATTCAAATCAAAGCTGTTTACCTAAAAACTGGATAATCATTAAAATGGTTGAAACGATTTCATTTATTTAGTAAATTATTTTTAAAAAAGTGCAAACTTTTTTTTAATATAATCAATTAAAGTATTTACACAAACTGCAAGGTTGAGGTGTCATTTAAACATGACTGGGCTACAATAAAATAACATTAAAGTGCCTGTGATGTCACGTTTTTGTAATAAACACTGCAAAAACTGTCCATCTAACCAAGTTTTAAAATCTTATATCAGCCAAAAAGTCTTTTTGATCTTG